GGGGGGGAGTGGGCTCTGAGTGCTATAAATGTTTTGGCAGGAAGACCGAGATGCTCAATAAAAATTCCACCCGTAATGAATATTATGTAAATCGAAACTCAGATGTTCTGAGAGCAACAGCAAAGCGCTTTACCACTATACGACATACAGAGAAATGATAAAAAGATTTAGAAATGATTAGTGCTTATGATAGAGTCCAATAGTGTATTACGTACATACTTAGTATAACTAGTAACTGTAATAGCAGATAGAGATTTCAGGATTATAGATGTAAGTTATTGATCTGAGAGCGGTGACAATTTTAGAAATAATAGTGGTGATGAGTGATGCTGAGGGTTTGGGTATAAGTAATGTTAGCGTTAGTCCTATCTTTCTCTGCACTTTTTTCATCTAATCAGATGGCGTCAATCTCATATAAATGGGCAAGGGGAAAAAAAAAGAGAAATGTGAGGCAGCGTGGTGGAATCAGGCTCTCGACAAAATAATCAAAGTGAAGAAACTTGCATTTTTCCGCAGGTTTGTGAGTTTTTATCAAATTTTTGTTTTTTGGCTCAACACCTTCCATTCCCATTAAAGAACTCATTTCGGTGTTGATTTTTCTGAAAAGCGTTGATTAAAGGCATAAAAAAGCAAATTTTTAGTTACCACGGACTCTTGCGCTAAGGAAATAACTAATCTTTGGCGGCCATTTTCTCAATAATTTTACATCTGAAAACAAGTGACCCCCACCTCCTTCTTTTGCAAATATCTCGACTTGTACTCAAGATAATTGGATATTTTTTCATCCAAATAAAGACTAGTGAACAAGATTTAAGATGATACCAATAATTCTACATGCCCAAAAATTGACGAGAACCTGATACCACCACGCTGCCTCACAAATGATTTAGCCTCACCTTATGTTTGGTGAGGAAGGCAGAGCATTGTAGATTGACACCCATCATCTTGTGTGGGTTCCAGGTGATAGAGTCGGCTCTGTTTTGGGATGGATAGCACTGAAATTTCAGCCTTGTTTCATATAAGCTCTCTCTTTCCTTCTGCTTTTCTTTATTCCCCCCCCCCTTTTTCTTCTCTCTCTCTCTCTCTCTCTCT